ATGGGAAACTATAGCAAAATGCTAATCCGAAGAAGAGTTATAAAAAGACTTGTGAGAAAATTATGAAATCACATGAAAGTGTTTTGAAATGACTACAATACCACTTTGGACAGTGGTATTGTAGTGGTATACCACTATACCAAAAAGTAAAAGGAAACATTTTCCCCCAGAATTCACCCATGAAATATCAAAACAACTTAAAATGGATAAAATGTATTCTTCTCATTCACATTCATGTCCTCTGTGTTATGATCATATTTAATTATGCATAAAATCCCTCTTTGATGTTTACTTCTGATTTTCTCACAGCTGCAATTAACACCACTGATTCACATTATAATAATTGATGGGAGTTTTTACCAACAAAGAGGATTCTGGGAACATAATAGCCATCAGGAGCCAGATGCTTGTCCTTGGTTTCCTCCTGTAGAAAAACAATAATCACAACAATTATAATAACTACCAATGATAAATGTGTTAATTTACACAGAACGAAAATAGAATATGAAAGCATTGCGCTTACTGTAACTACCTAAATAAACATCAACACTAATCTGAATAGATTTTCTAAAATTCTGCATTAATAATAACACATCTAGAAGTGGCATGACCAATAATATTTTTTATACAACATAGTTTCTCATGAGAGTATGAATAATATTTTACTTACCACCACATTTAACATGATGAAGTCATCCTTGGCCATTTTCTGGATGGATTTATCAGCAACAAATGCCTCCTTCAGAGCTGTTAAAATACTTAGATTTAGTCTGAGAAGTTAACTGGATATGATATGATAGTAATGAGAAAAATAATGCACTCTGTGGAGTACATTATGTACATTTTGTACAATAAAAATGTGGATTTTATTTCAAAATTAAGAAATAAAATCCACATTATGCAGGACATTTTTTAAATACACTAACCTATAAATGTAAATGTATAACAGATTAATTTAAATTTACGCTTTGGGCATTCCTAGTGAAGATGTGTAAAAGAAAACCCTGAAAGTCTGTCAGTACTTTGTACAACAAAATCTGGTGTTTCTATCTCATAGGATTTTTATACTCTTCCCCTGAATAAACTTCTTTTCTCTAGACAATACAAATTTGATTTAAAGGCCGTTTTGACCTTTTTACAAGTAATGCCAATAGAAGTGTAGTACAAAGAACAAAACTAAGAGCCAGCTTTGCTCTGTTGTTGAGACTTCCACCGAGCTCGCCTCCAGAAAACCAACTGAGTGATTTATAACTAGAAATCCAACATACTTCATTACGTACACTGCAGGGAATCAGGGACACAAGCACTGAACTCCACGTGAAGTCAAAGTAGCCACAATAACAGAGGGTGTGCAAATCTGCATCTATACATGTAATATTTGTTTTTTTCATTGAACAAAGCACAACAAAACCAAAGTTCCACAGTACCTTTACTGTGTGGGCAGTTGTCTAGATGATGAATGACCATCAGTGGTTTCTGACTGCGAAAACAAAACCAGTGAATCAACTCAGTGGGTTCTCCAGCACAGTGAGCACACTGATGGTGTAAATGCAATTAATCTATTGACAAATTGAGCTGCAATGGTAATTTTTACATGATTAATGATTTTATAAAGCCAACTGTTTACCTATATGTGATAAGAAAAAGAAAAAAAGCTACATTGAAAAGAAGACAATCTTATCATGCAATCAAAGAATGGGTTCAAAGTCCTACCTCTTGGCACTTTCTGACAGGCCCTCTTCATAACTTTTGACCCATTTAATAGTTTTCCCCCATCCTGAAAAAGAAGAAGGAAAAGAAAAAAACAAGATATTGCCATCATGTAAGTCTGCAAAAAGTATTTTCAAATCAGCCAATTTGATACTCTAATTCAGTCTTATGATGAAATCAATCTGCTCAAACTGAACTTCACCTCTTGACAGGGGCGACGTCGCAGTCTTCACCTTCTTTTTATTCTGTGCGTCAGCAATGGCACAGAGGCCGATGAACAAAGCAAGCACGCCCCAGCGAAGCATCGCTCCCTGACCTTGGAGAAAACCACAGTAAGACTCGCCTGTTCAAAATGGGTGTCAGGTGTGGCGTTGCTCCACCCACGCGCATGACGCACTGCTCTTTGGGTACCAAGTTTATTACAAATTATTGTAATTATAGTAATTGAGACAACAAGAAAGGTGTAGAAAGCTTGTTAATGAATTAAATACAAAAGTAGCAATTTTATCCAATGAAAGGAAGAATCCTCCATCGTGTGGTCTGTTAATTTAGCTCAATCTGAACCTTCCTGCTCTAATGGCTGTTTAGCCGGGTATAAAAATTTCAGGTTTGACAGGTAGGCACACGCGTTGAATTATCATTCGTTTACTTTCCATATCAGGTCTCACTCCATAATCCTCAAGACAGAATAAACAAAACACCTTAGGAATTACTTTACTGATCGTAAACAAAAAAACAATAATTGAAAAAATACAGTGAAGCATTAACTACTCAATCAAGACTAAAGTGCTCTGAATTAATTCAAAAATATTAAATATTGTTAGATTTTATTCATTAGACTTCCCTTATTTCCTTAATTCAATCTTTGGTGAGTCTTACTTTTCCAGCGTTAAGTAGAGGGAAATGAACTCAGAATAATTCAGAATTATTGTAAAACAAAGCATTTGTAGTCAGGACACCCAGCTGACCAGCAATAGTACCGAGTGTCAGTGTCGTGCACACGTCAGAGAAGAAAGTCTCGTTTCTTCCCTGCACTCACACATCTTGTTGAAGGTTAACTTCAAAGATATTCAATCTTTATTCATTAAACAAGTAAGACAAGTCTGGAATTCATGTGCTAAAAAGAGCAGCAATTCTAAACATTTGAAGCATTTTCTTAAAGTGGGTGTGATAAACATCTTCCCTTACTCCAGGATTAACAATTTCCTTGTTGAGCACTCTTGGGCACATAACAATGACTTCCTTCTCAACATTCAAAATTGAGAAATCATAATTTGTGTCACAAATGATGATTCACATCGAAATCTTCTTCTCGGTAATTTATTATTGCATTTTTGTGTTCAAAAAAACAAACATCTAAGCTGAGGTCAGAAATGAACAAGTACAGCAATAACTGTGAAAATTCTTTACAAATCCAACAATTTTTAAATCGTTTTTTCATGTTCTAAAAGACAACATGAACATTCACACAGAAAAGACAACTCAAAATTCTCGTCTTCTGATAAAATCTATGATGGATGTCTTACCTTTTCAGCATGAAGCAAGAGTCTGTGCTTGTTCGCCTCTATGATTTCCCTTTTGTCAGTTTTCTTTTAGTCGAACTTGCCAAACAGGCATTTATATAATAGTCTGAAATGATTATGAAACAAAGAGAAAATGTTACTCACAAACACACCCATCAATCCTTAGTCGAATGTTCAGAGGAAACCAAACACAGCATACCAACAGTTAAGCAGAGCGGTGGAGAGGTGATGACTTGAGCTGGTTTTGCTGCCACACAACCCGGACAACTTGCAGTCAATGAGTCCAACCAACAATGCCTCTGAATATCAGCATAAAATCACCCAGGTAAATCTGTCGCTAGGTCAGGTTTAGCGAGCAACACCACTTCACTGTAACAGGAAGGGTGGGAAATAAAAAACAAATGAACTCCAGCAAACCATAAAGGCAAAGTATGGGCCAAAGGTTTCCTACATAATTGTCAGAAACAGATAAGGATTACAACCGGAAGACTTATTTTTGGTCCAGCTAAGGAAAATTGATTATTTTTGCAATATCTGTATCATGAAATTTATTTTGATTTTTAAATGAAAGAAAAACAAATTGTAGTTTTGTTCTAAGGTTTTAACATACAGAAAACACTTTATTATGAAAGGAAATTAATGCAACTTCTTTAAAGATCATATTTGATTATATGATAAAGCAAGTAGTTTGCAATCTGAAGACAAGGAATGCCAGTCCTAGCATTTATTGGTTAAAAAAATATTTTAAAATATTTCTGAACTTTATAATTTTTTCCCAAACTTATAAAGAGCCACAGTGGAAGATCCAGAGAGTTACTTGAAGTTCTCGTTTCAAACCACACCCTGTATAGCTGCTAAAGTTTATTTCACAATGATTTAAAGAATGACCTGTGGGCTAATGGTTTTATAGCCAGTGACTTTGTAAACAAATAGATTCAGATAAGTCTAGTCTTAAAAACCAATGAATTATGATAAAAGCAAATTTGCTTTGATCATTTTTGAAGACCGGTTATGTATTTCAAAAATACAATCAAGTAGAAAAACATTTTAATTTTCATATATCATTCTTTATTGTATTATCTTGAAACAAACTGAGTTAAATTGCTCAAAAAAGTAACTATAAAGTTTTTTAGTAAATATTAACTAAGATCTATAAATATATTATATTCCTGATATGCCACATAACCTAGCTTAAGAGTTTATCAAACTCTGTGATAGAAAGGAAAATGTCTCCTCTTTTAGCCCTTTTCACATTCGCGTTTGAACTAGAAATGTGGATGCCTGATAATTTTCTTGGACAGTTTGTTCCTGTCCAGCCCTGTTTCTAAATGACACACATGCAGATGCAACATTAACAGGATTCTGGTGCACTTCCAGGAGGCCTGAGACACTCATGTATTGTAAAACCTACAACTATAATGGATGCATCTTTTTTTTTTTCTGGCACAGTCTTTTGTGATGTGACTTTACTGGAAAAAAGATTTATACTGGAAAAAAAATTTTTTTTCAGGCCATAAGAATAAATAATGTTAAGAAAAATAGTTTAGTTTAATACATTTTTCTACAGTGAGTTAATATGCATCTGATCTTTTTGTATAGTAGTCTAAAAAATGATGTGAATAATCCCCACAAAACGTGCAGCCGCAAAAATGCGGTAAAACCCAACATTTGTGGCGCTGCAAATCATTCTGGTCATCACTAAACCCTAATTTGCTAGCTGTTAGCTGTTGCCATAGAGACAGTAAGCGCTTTACGCATGCGCACTTTTCACAGTAGTGATGCACTGTGGGATTTCTGCGTATTGACATAGCAACCGGGCCAAGGAGCCGCCGCCGCTTAGTATTTTTGTCCGGATTAGTTTTTGCTTCACACTCGTTGCTGGGAGTGCGCTTTCCACCGCTGCCATGAACGCGGCGGTGGTGAAAAAGACTCAGGACACGCTGGGAAAAGTGATAAAGAAACCCCCGCTGACGGAGAAGCTGCTGAGCAGGCCGCCGTTTCGGTACCTTCACGACATCTTCAGCGAGGTGAGCCTCTAACGGTGGAGACATGTTCACAGCTGCTGGTCACATATGAAGCGACCACGGCATCTTCAGCTAACTGGCCTCACTCGAATTCACAGAGAAACAGCTTCGGTGGCTAATAATCAGTCAAACGTAACAGTTAGCCTGCATTAAACAGACTAACTTGCGCTCTGGTAGATATCAGTTGTAGCACGAAAACCATGTAAGACACTGCCATCTCCAACCAAATGGTTGCTAACGTTTATTTGGAAACATTTAACTGCGAAGTTCCCGGTGGAGTCATCTGCTTGTTGCTTTAGCGTTTAGCGACGTTATCCGGTTGCTATATGCACAACCTGGACCCTGGCAAGCATAAACCACTTAGTCCGCAGATGGATAACTGCTACTCGAACACTGAGTATTGCAGTCTCAGTAATAAGTCAGCTAAATTAGCCTGGGCTGTTGACCCATGTCACGGTGGCAACCCTGATGCTCAGCAGCTTATTACAGCTGGACTGTTGGGTAATGCAGATTTACGTTGAGCTCCCAGAACCGCATGAAACGTTGCAATAGAAGACTTGACTTAAGAAAGTCAAGTAAAAGGACTTTCTGTTCTTACTTTTATTTTTTTTTTTACTTTCGGGCAGTTGTTATGATGCGTAAACATGGCAACAAGGTAACTGATTAGCACCTCAAAAGTTTGAATAGCACCTGGAGTATGACCCCGAGCCTCAAAGAAGTTGAAAAAGAAACTTCGTGGATTCAAGGTGGAACCAAAGAGCAAACAGAAGGAGGAAGTTGAAATAATCTGTTTCGTTGATCATAACAGGCAAGGATAGTACCCCCAACAGCAGCATTTCTGCCCAGATTTGTAACCATTCAACCAGAAAGAGATTTAAAAGGGAGTTGCAGAAGCAAATGAGATTGATTAGTAGCGCTTGCCAACAATTAATGGTGTCATCCAGGACATTTTACTTTGGAATATCGTCTCTGCTACCTGGAAATTGAGCTGTTAGACACAGACAGATTTTATTGTCATTCAACTGTACACTTAAAAATATACAAATGGAAAGAAATGTCATGACAGTTGTGACAGTCACAGCTTTCAGTCAGAGGCCTCTTTACATTTGTTGTAAGACTGACTTCTACAGCAGATCTGTCCTGCTCACAGCCTCAGCATCTAAATGACTCTTTAAAGCTGCTTGGATTATATGAGTAATGATATTTAGTTTTCCTTTGGGATAAATAAAGATTTTTTAAATTGAGTAAGATTGGGAGGGAATGTTAGTGAACAAACGGCATCACGAAGACCAATGACAGCAAACAATCTGTTGCCATTTTTAATTTACAAACTTCTGTTATCATTGTCCAATCCAAGATACCTAATGCCTACAGCTGCTTGGCAATTATTTTGTAAGTTAAAGCCCAGGATCAGTTAACAACTGCCACCAAATTTTAGAGGAATGTTTTTTTTTGTTACATTAAATTTTTATTTTAATTATTGTTCTCACTCAAATCTATATTGATGTGTTGTATTATTAATTCTTTTAGCAACTTTTCACTATAGGAGGAATTTGTTCTTCATCCACTTGTGAGACACAGGTTACCTCGGTCAAAGTGCTTTAGATTTATTTTCTTTTGTCCCAAGTGCAATAGAGGAACTCCCATCAGTCAGCTATTGTCTCCGTGGTGTTTTAGTAGCTCGATGTCATTTTCCCTAATCAGTTAATTCCACTTAAATGTTTTATGCATATTACTGAACTTTTTTGTGGCGGAACATGGTCAGGTTGCTTTGGCTGCTACAAATAAAAAGGTCAGTGTTGAGAAACATGTTTGGGACCAAAAACCAATTGATTCTAATTCCTTTTTGGGTTGCTACAGTGAAACATTAGTCTCCCTTTAGTTCTATCATCTGCGTTCTCCCTCCCCTCATATCAACTAACTTTATGTTTCACCACATCCATAAATCTCATTTTTGGTCTTCCTCTGAGCCTTCTCCACTGAGGCTCCAACCTCAGCATCCTTCTACCGACTTAATCATCGTCTCTCCTCTGAACATGTTGACTGATGGACAAAATGATGTTTTAGATAAAAGTCTCTAAATGTTATCAGTTATACAATGAGCTTTTTTGTTCTTCCAACTTCCAGGTTATCAGGACCACTGGTTTTATGAAAGGCCTGTATGAAGAAAATGAGATGAAGTCAGATAGTGTCAAGGTAAGCTGGTTATTCTTGGCTGTTTTTCTGTTACTCTTCAGCTACTTCTGATATAGTATTTGGTTTTATCATGCGCTTATGTAGTTTGAGCCAGTTTATGTGCTAACTTGAAGTTTTGATGAGCAAGCTTGGACGTTTGAGATTCCCCTGCTGTTTTACCGATCTGTCTGAGAGTTGAGTAACCAAACACGAGTGACAAGGCCTGGCAGTGAAGCGCAGAGTGTTTATCGAGGTGTCAGAACTCAGGTCTGCCATTTGCAAGTTGATCCTCGATTAGGAAAGGATGCGTGGAGGCTGCACCAGCTTCTCACCTTACCTTAAATTAATGCTGTTGTGTTAGTTGTTCTAAACTTTACCAGGAATCAGGTTTGTTGAGCAATTTATTAAAATGCCATTCTTTATTTTTTATTTTCAAAGTTTTCAATCATTCTTTTTGCATATTTGTTCTAAGTACGGTTTTTACTGTCAGAAACAAAACTTTTTACAACCAAACATTTACATTTTGGGTCAACCCAGTTGATATTCACAGAAAATTTTATATCAAAATAAATATAACATGACCTAAATATCTTTATTTGAAAAACAAGACAATTTTATTGACTATTACAATTATAACAATGTGTCTAATATGTCTTTATTGTTATCTTAAAGCATTATTGAAAGCAGTGATATAAAGTAGACAAGTGTAGGAAAACAGTAACTGGAAATTCACAACAACAGGTTTGGGAGGGGGACTGCTGTTAAGCTCTGCTCCATACAGCTGATCGGTTTTTGGCATCTCATTAAAAGTTTTTTTTTTTTTATTCACAGAAACATTTTGATCGGAAATGAATTCAGTTTTTGAAGCTTTGGGAATCCTGATAATAATAATAAGCAACTCATTGCTGTTGCTGAACAGGTGCAATGATAATAACATAAGCTTTCTACTTTAATGTCCTATAAATTTTTTTTTGGTGATGTTTTGCTTTGTTGTAGGATAAGGACTCTAAAATGGCCTATCTTCAGAAAGCAATAGATGTTGTGATGTTGGTGTCTGGCGAACCTCTGGCAGCAAAACCGGCACGAATCGTTGCCGGTCATGAGCCTGAGAAAACCAACGAATTGCTTCAGGCCATCGGGAAGTGCTGCCTCAACAAGGTACGTCATTCCTGGAAATCACTCAAATATGTTCAGTTTCATTGTTCGTCCACTAATGAGCTGGACATTGTTATTGACTAACCATTTAAAAAACGTGGGTTTTATTTTTCACTGTTTGAGAATAGAGTCCATCTGCCTGAGGGAGAACGGTAAACCTGAAGCACTAACATTCTTTGTTAGTTTTTAGCCTCTTGAGGTCTATTTGAATGCTAAAAGCTGAGATTATTAAACATATGCAACAAACACACAGAAATCAGCATAAATACTTAAAACGTGTTGTAGAATTCAGAATTTTTATCAGTTTATCAATTAATCTGTTTTGATCAACTGTACCAAATGGGCCACTGAGACTATCTGTTAATGTCTATTTTACTAAAATTAAATATGGTGCAACTTAGTCTGGCTGAGGTGCTTCAATTCATAGCTTTAACATTAGTTATGTTTCATAACTCTACGTAAGGTTCTATGATCTAGAAATTGTGGATGTAACTATAGAAACAAACAAAAGTTCACGGCAGCACAAACTATTGTGGAGTTTGGTTATTTTAGGATTTGATTTAATAAATCCTGGCGTGTCAGTGGAACAGTTCTGTTGAGGTTCATTGTGAAGAAGCAGTGAAAGGGAAGCTGTAGTCATCGCTGCTAATCCCTGTCTGTGTGTGTTGTGACCTGCTAACTCATGGTTCAACAACAGCCGTGTGAGAGAAACCTGAGTGTTAGGTTAAACATTGTGTTTACTGTGATTTTTAAACAATATAGATTTTTTTAAACTTTAGGTTAAGGTATTTCATGTCTTTCTTTTTTGTTTTACTCCAAATTATCTGTACACTTTTCAACTTTGACATGCCACAATTTCTACTAATTTTATACTTTAAAAAAAATACTATTGTGCTTTGAAGTTTGTTGGTTTTTCTACATTTATTAAATTTTTGTATTTATTGTGGCCAAAAAATGCTACTTTACTTTGTTACCTCGCAACAAACAGCTTCTTGCATGAAGTTTGTTGGACTAACTGATAAATTAGTTTGCCCTAAATTAAAAAGTAAAACTATTACATTGTGTGGCATTATTAAATTTTTTTGATCCCTGATTTAATTTTTAAATGTGCTGCAGAAATATACCAAGGAACAACCAACATTGTTAGGGATTATTCTCCCTCATTTACCAGTTTTTTCTGCACACCTTGCTTAAGTAAGTTCTTTTTTGCTTCACAGCTGTCCAGTGATGAAGCAGTGAAGCGAGTTCTTGCAGGAGAAAAAGTGGACTTAAAGAGCAAAGGGAGCACCTCCAGATCTCAGGGCAAGGAAAACAGGGATGGAAAGGAACGGCAGCCGGATAAGGAAGTGAGTCCCCTCCTAGCTAAAATATTATAAAAAACGTATTCAGTGCTCACCATCCTACCCAGATATTACAATAATTTATCGGAAGCGCATTTAGCATTGTTTTCTGATCCCTTCAATTTTCAGGAAAAGAAAAAGATAGAGCGGAGTGGCAGCCGGGAGCATAAGGATCCAAACCAGGCCAAAGAGCAAGAGAGCCGGCACAGAGACAAAGAGGATCACCGTGACCATGAGCGCACAGAGAGGCATCACCACAGTGAGAAGGACCACCAAGACAAGAGCCGAGAGCAGGAACGAGAGCGGGACAAAGGACGGGTCAGGGACAAGGAGAAAGACAGGGACAGAGATCGAGACAGAGACAAGGAAAAGACCAGGGAGAGAGATTCTCACAGAGACCGAGGCCAAGACAAACGAAGAGACAAAGACCGAGAGAGGGAGGGAGATCGTAGCAAGGACTGGAATGAAAAAAACAGAAGTGGGGAAAGAGAAAATGACAAGGTTTGGCAGCCAAAGTTAAGCAAATTTTCAGTTAAGCAAATAAATTCAGTAGCTCACATGCTCCGCGTGTGTCTGTGTGTTTACCATCAGGCCAAGGTGCCAGAGAAACCTCTGCAGAAAGCAGCCAAAACTGTGCCAGCAGTAAGTTCTCTCCTTTTATGGAAGATTGCTTATTTGTCACGTTTAAATTTTGGAAATAGAATTCAACGTAATTAATCCAAAATGGTGATAAACCTCTCATCACTTTTTTTTAAGAATCTAAAACCAGTTGAAGAGGTAACAATGTTTTCAGACCTGAATGTGTTTGTTGCATGGCTTTTGGCTAGGTTTTTTTTTTAGCTAATTGCTTTTTAAAGTGCTATTGTATTAGGTTTTTTGCCGTTTGTGCTCAGAGCTGTAGCAGCTTTAATTTTAACGGATTAGCATGATGGTTTTGTGTATATGATTCAACTAAAGCCATATTTCTGTGCTCTTTGTTCAGCCTACAGATGTAGTGGAAAACCAGGTAGGGACATTAAGATGCATGTAGAAGTAGAGTGGAGTAATTTAGAGAAGAAGTCACATATCATGCTTTATCAGAATTCTATTAAAAAACAGATTTTTTATTGTTTTACAGTCAGGTAGTCCAGCTAGGATACCCCGGCCCTCATCTGCCAAAGGCCAGAGACAGAAACCCAAAGTTGGAAGTAATGGTAAAGGCTTTGAGAGTTTTATTCCAAATACACACATATAGCTTATTTTAATCAATCTAGACTCTTTGGGATTGTACAGAGTTACATTGGGTTACTTATCTGTTGGCAGAATGCTTAATGTAATTGAATGAAAATGCATAAAGTGATTCTGCAAACATGGTTTTCTATGAATGATTTGATTTGAAAACCCACATTATGCTAATTACATTTCTGTTTCATACTAAAAGAGATACCGTACCGTGGTATGTAATGACTTTTCATTTGTTCCTTGCAGCAGATGAGTCTGACAGTGAAGGAGGTGGAGGTAAGTGTTTTATTGTTAACATGGACCTCCTTCTCATCATTGAAGAATGATGTTTTGTGTCGATGAATTAACTGATTAACTTAATTGAAATTGGTTCAAGTTCCTCATAAAAGTGACTATACCTTTTGAACTGTTACAAAAAACTTTATTATTAAATATTTTTTAGATAAATCAACACATATTGGCTTATAATTGGGAAGCTGAAGGAAAAGTACATACAAACCTTCAAACATATGGAATGCTCTTTTATTTAATCCCACTAAGTTAATACTTGGTAGAACCAATTTTCAATGAAATTACAGCAGCAATGTGGATGAACATGGTTTGATCTAAACTATTTCATTTCAGCTTTAAACTTCTCCACAGTGTTTGCTGATTTCTGCTGTTTAATATTTTTTGATAAGCCTCTAAAACAGGGGTGTCATACTCCAGTCCTGGAGGGCCTCTGCCCTGCAAAGCGTTAAACACAAAGTCTCATTGTCTGGGCGTATCTGTCCAAACCCAAACTGGGCTGGGTGTCCACTATAACTGGGGGGGTTAATAGAGTTTACAAAAGCAAACAGAAACCAGACAGTTTGCAGTGAAAAGTGGTTTAACCTGTTAAAGGTACATAAATCTCATTAACTCTGGTATTGTTTCATAATGTCTTTGGAATGTAGCCAAATATTTAAAGATTACACTATACTATCACTATATTTGATCTTGTCTTATATTTCCCTCTTTTTTTCACTTTGATTAATCTGAATGAGAATTGATAGGTGACCTATCAATTTTTGTTGGTGTCCTCCCACTTCAAGGACATCAGGTCTGTCAATAAAGTTACAAAAATATAACATGAGGGACTCGCCCTCATGTTTATTGTAGTTTTAGTTTCACTATTGAGTGAAATAATGATAGTCAAAAATGACAAAAAAATTATTTATTTGTCATAAGCTCTCAATTATAAAAGAGCTTATTGATTATCTTAATGCTGTTGGGAGGGTTGTTGATGTTTTTTTCTTGTTTATACATGGAAAAACTCAACAATAAAAACCTGAAAGATGTGTAAAGCTTCTGTGCAGAGACAATAGCCAACTCCTCAAACATTTCTCCACCAGGTTTAAGTCTTGTTTTTCTTTTTTTATTTAATTTTTTTTCTGTAACCTCTCTACAAGTTTTTCTACAAATGTAGGAATCCAGCAGTGAATCAATAGTTCAACTCCTGTAGACCCATGTTGGTCTACAGGGTCATACATTTTCAGATGTTAATTTACTTTTAATAGAATAAACATGAGCAGTTTTTAAAAATTTGTAAATGATGTTAGTTTGTTAGAGTTGTAGTTTTAAGGATTCTAGTCAACGGTTTGATCTCTTTTCTCTCCAAACTGAATCCCTTTTTTCCGTGTCCACTCACAGACGGAGACGATCAGTTAGCCCAGAAAGCCGTCCCTCAGGAGAACGGAGACACTGAAGAATCCTCTGTGCCAGACAAGACTGCTAAGTGTGTACAATCAGTATTTACTGGATCTACAACAATAACCGATGGACTTTGCATTATCCTTTAAGTTCCAAAGTCTAAATGTAGTTATTCATCTTATTGTTGCATTGATATGAACAATAAAACGTTTACATCCAGATTGTTTTCCCAGTTCTTACTTTACAGGTTGAAAACTTTGGAAGTCCTTTTCCTTTGGCTGACTAATCACTTATGATTGGCCTTTTAAGATGCTGTAAAACTGCAGCTGTTATTAATATTCTGACTTGGCGGGCAGAGCCGTCATCCTCCTGACGTCTGGATCCTTCTGACATCTGGCATATCTCACACACGTTTCCGTGTTGTTGTGCTCAAAATAAGCTGTGAAAATAACAGCTCGTAAAAGGGAAAACCTGCTGTTGGTGTTTTTTAAATACTTTGTTTACGATTTTCATCCTACAGGCGAGTGGCTCGGCCAAGCAGCGCCCGCCCAGCACCTCCTCGAGTCAGGAGACAAGAGAGCAACATTGAGGGGACCCCAGCTGAGAGGTGACCTCATCGTTCCAATTACTAAATGTTTGTCCCGTTACGGTGCCTTGTAAAAGTATGCGCACCCCTTGAATCTTTTTCACGTTAAAAAAAACTCCCAGCGCTTTAAAAAAAAAATTCTGCTTAACATACACCTGCAATTCATTTGTAGTATTTATCTAGCTGTATCAGTCACTAGATAACAGGGCTGGAATTAATTATTATTTTTGTAATTGATTGTTCTGACGATTAAGTCACTCTTATTTATGTAGTACATTTCATCAACAAGGCAGTTCAAAGTGCTTCACATAAAAACATTAAACCGTCATCAATTTTGAAACAAGCAATAAACATTAAATGTTGTCAAATGCCATTATCAAAATTATCAGTCAAACACATATCAGATATGTTGATCAATGTTTTGCTTCTTACTAATTGAAGGCAACTCTAAACAGGTTTTCTTTAAAGGAACTTGGTGTTTCAGAGGTTTTGTTGTTTTCTGAAAGTTTTCTTGTTGGGGAAAAAAAGACAATTTACATGTATCCACTACTTTTGTTTTGTTTGTTGTATACAATCCCTATTGAACACATGAAAGTTTGTGGTTGTCACATCAGAAACATGAGAAGTACAAGGCATATCAATCTTTTTTGCAAAATGCAAGGTTTGTTCAATTTGGGCCTGTACTGTCCTTGACTTTTGTCTGGCTTGAGAACTTCTTTGCAAAACAATTTAGACTGAATTCACTGCACTGATTAAAAATGCTTATTCTCAGCCAGTTCTGAGTATTACTCCTGTTTTTAAGGTTGTCGAGTGCCAAGCCTGCACCTCCCATTATACTGGACGGGAAGAGAACGTCAGATGATGAGGAGGATGAAGATGAACAGTTCCTAGTGATGGAGGCCGTCACTCCACATCCAGATTCTCCTAAAACAGTGAGAGTGGGTGACATGATTAGTCATGAGTGCGATTATGAAGCAAAAGTCCAGAGATGATCATCATTATTTGTTTGTGACAGGAAACTGCACATGAACTCGATGCTGATGAAAAACATGGTAAGTTTCAGCTTCTTCAGCTCTTGAAAAATGACAGAATTTTTGCTTTTTGAAGCTGAATTTTGTCCCCTAATGCAGGCGGACTTGTGAAAAAGATCCTTGAAACAAAGAAGGACTACGAGCCGACTCCATCCTCATCAAAGTCTAAAGAACAGGTTTGTATTTCAAGCATTTCATTTTTTAGATTTCCACCAGAGGGCAGTATTAGCCAAGTTCTGTCTGTGCCAGTCCTGTGAGCATTTCTGGGAACTTTGTTCCTTGGGAACACTATTTTAACCACTGGCCCTAGTGCAACACTGGCTTTTATCAAAAGAAAGATGTAAACAAATGGAATGAGGAGGTGGAGGTGTAATTGCAGTGCCTCTAAACCACAAAAATGTTCCCCTTCAGTGAAGGTGAAGGGCTAATAACCAGGCAAGCACTCATGGCCCCTTGCAGACCACACACACTATTGATCCACACATCTAGATGTCTGGAACAAAAATGAGTTGTTTGCAACATTTCTGTTATTTAAAATTGTTCAGCTTAGCAAGGTTCTTTGCTCAATTAAGAAGCACCGTAAAGCATGGGAGAAAGATTTTAGAGCATTTTTTTTTCTTTTATAAACCCTAATGGATTCTACGTCCTTGCAGCTAAATTTTGTCTTTCGGGCCTGTACTGGTTGGGCCAGTACAGGCCCAACCAGTTATTTACAGAGCCAGTAAAGATGCGTTGAAAGCCTTCAACTAAATTTAATGCAACAGGATAGTCTCACCGTGAAACAGCTGGAAAATTCAAACTTTAATTTGGTTTCATATAAGGAAGGAAATCACATATTATAATAACAAACACAGATCTTTGAATATTTATTGTTACATAAGCTCTCTAGATCCCATGTTCTTTCTTATTTCTTCAGCTCAACTTATAGGTTTTGCTCTGGTGAAACATTTCGGTGTTAATTCATTTTAATTTTCAATCTGCTGAACCATGCCCACAGCATCATAGATCCTCTACCTTGCTAAGCAGTGCGTTTCTACTTAAGTTTTGTTAAAAGCTTGATCTTAGGCTTATGTGACTCAAAAACCAAAGCTCCAATAGCGTTGATCAAACTTGTTATGTTAGCATTCCTGATATTGCTGCCACGCAAATGGTTGATATGTATAAAGGCTCTTGTCTATATCAGTGATCTGTGTCGCATCTTATTTATAGATTCTTGAGCAGCAATAATAAATCTTGAGCAGTAATATCACCATATTGAGATGAAAATAATCGCAATTAAAAAGAAAATTGTATAAAAATATTAGACTTGCATGTTATATTTTTTAGTTTCCCCTTATTCTGTGAATTCTTTTTTTAAACTGCAAAGATTTTAAGAATAACTCATAATGAATGTTTAATTTGAGTTTCATTCTTAGTTTTTATCTCATTAGTCACCAATTATTTCTATTTTTAGGTTTCAAAAATAGACATAAAGTTTTCGGAACAAGAGTCTTTCCTTCCTAAGAATGTCTGTATGGAAAATTGTGGAAATCCTTTGCTGATTTTTCCATTACAAACTGATTTTTTTTTTACAATCAAGTATTCTTTAAAAAGTTTACATTTAAAAAAATCGATTTCTATAATTTTTAAGAGTGACTTTTTGCTCTGAAGCTGCAAGGCTGAGAGGAAAAGCAGACAGCTGTGGAAGCAGTCAGGGCTGCTTGGAAGGGAACAATGCAGCAGCTGTATCACCGCAAGACATTTTCCCAGAACATTTCTGACACTGCTTGATATCCATTGTAGGTTGCAAGGGAGATACATTTGTGGTTGCTGCACCCATTACACTTAATGATCACGAAGTACAGATTTAATCTCACAACCAGTGATTTTCCTTTCTTGACAGTGTGAACATGATGGAAGCCAGAAATATAGAATAAACATTTTAAATTTTAGTTTTCAAGTGGTTGTTGGACAAAAGATTATATCTTTCTGTCATTCTTCTCTTTATAGAGTAGCAGAAACATATGAAGCCTCTGCACACAAAACGTAATTGAGCTTCTGCCGCATTGTGCAAATTCCTTGAAGATTAGTGTTTCAACCCCGTCTTCGTCAGAATCATAAGTGAGCACAGCAACAGTGCAAGTAATCACAGACAACTTGGCACAGGTGTATGAAATTTACAACAAAGTCATGCCACAGCAATTTTCCTGGACAATAAATTGAACAATAAACTGTCACACAATAAAACATGAAGTAAACGTATCAATAACCACTAACAGAAGGACAGGTACCAAAAATAAAACAACAAAAATATCCTTTTACCCAAATGAGGGAAATCTAGCAGAAAAAAATGGCAGACAGTAATGCAGCAACCAACATGAGAGAAAACACGACAGATATTTTATATATTATGGAGACTTCAGGTGGTTCAACAGTTATTTGCGACTATCTGCTGGCAATAGCAAGAATTACCTTGATGAGAAAATGCATTGGACTCCTTTGGTTTTCACACCATTTTTAAACTGCCAGATTAGTCTAACCTGTAGTGGTTTTTGAAATATTAAATATAAATATGAAATATAACTTTAAATAATATAGTAAAAAACCTAGTTATTTTTAGGAGTCAGGGGTTCCAGTAATTGTGGCGTAAGGGATTTTGTAAAAAAAATAAAATAAATAATGCTAACAAAAAATTGTTTATATTAATGAAGGCCTATTGTATTATTGCTAGTACTGTTTATAGATTACCCTCTGTACGCCAGAGAAAGTGCTCTTTCATCAATATTTGGAGTATAAAAGCGTTTGAAGCTTACAGTTTGGTCTGAGCTTCGCGGTGTGAGGTGGTGTATGCTGTCTGAGTTGGGTGGTCCCCTTCACTGGAGCATGATGCCCTGCATCCCATCCTCGCTGACCACCCTGGCTGTGATGGATGAAGTGTTTTGAGCTGTCACTCATGCAGAAAGGCCGCTGATCTATTTCTTCCTAACAGCAACCTCAGACAGCATCACTCGTAACTTGCAGCTGAAACCAGCGAAGCTTAGCCAGCGGTAAACTGAAACTGCTCATCAGAAATTTATGGACTCAGGATTGAAAAGTTGTGTGCATTAAATGTTGTTTATGTGCAGCTCACGACCTCAATTGTAAGTTCAAACTCATGCAGACAAAGCATGTTACTGTGCTCATATTACTCTTTGAGTAACATGAGCACAGCTTTCTGAAGATTATCCCAATTTCCTCAATTTTTGGGGCCTTAAGGCCTTGGTTTCATAGTGTTGTGTCTGGTCTGAAGGTCTAGCTTGCTGCAGGTACGTCCATTTATAGGAGCCGGTTGTTTAGTCCATCCCTCAGCCGCTGCTGGCCTTGCTCCGTCAGCTGTATAAAGAACTATAATGACTTCCTTCCTGACATGAAAAAGCATGGAGGTCAGCCTAATGGACCTCTGCCTTTCCTTTTTATATTGTAATCATGCTGAAACACAAAAATGTAAACTCTGAGCTTCCCCTTTTCTCTTTGATTTAAGTGATTTATTTCTAAAATGCTGATGTTTACAGAATATGTATGTCTAACCAAATTTAGGTCTTTATTTTATTTATTCCATTTGTGTCATTAGGAAACCCCTTAAGTTTAAACAGTTGCCTGGTTATATTTTTCTCTTGCTCCTTCACTGGAGGATATGCAGTATATGTATGGGTTGACCTTCATCACTACCCGTCAGCAGCCGTGTATATTATTCCAAGATAGTTCTCCTTTTATTTTGACACAGTTTGCTCTTTGCTACAGCTGCGTTTTCGTTGGAATTTTTTTGTATTCTTCTTTTTTTCTTTTTGATTGCCCCTCTCTACTGGTTTTTCACCCCATCAAATTAGCCTTGATGAAGGTCTATAATGTATAAATAAACGGTGTGGCATACAAATGGATGGTTGTTGAGTGAGAGTCACGGAGGAGAAGGGCCAGGATACTCTCTGCTGGATTGTCAAGAAAATAAATACCCCTCTCTGCAGACCTTTGTGTCTTCATAAACATCCAGGTTTTTTTATGTGGAGCCATGAGGAAATGACCCAGTGGAATTCGGTTTTTGAGGGGCTATATTGACTTGCTGGAAGAATTGTTTTCTGCTATAGGAAAACCTACTTCAAATCTCTTTATTTTTTTACTTTTTTATTTTTTTAAACCTTTTGTTTCTTTAGTTTCTCTTGTTTGAGTGCTTCATAGTTTGGGATTTGTTAAGAGATTCCTTGTTCACCCCAGATGTCAAAAGGTTGATCTTCATCATCTCCCCAGGGGGCTACTGTGACCTTAGATCAACATCCTGTAACCTCAGTGCTCCTTTCCTCACTTCAGTGACTCTGAGATATTTTCATTATCCAGTTAGTTTTTTTTATGAAAACATGTCACATAAACAACACTCTGAGATCCTTTCAGTTTTCTTCAGGATAAAAACTCCTTAACTCATAACTACATAAGCAGCAAAAATAAGATGCTCCTGAAGTTATAAAACGTGGTTTGCACTTTGTTAATCAGCGGCGATGATCTTAAACTGTATGTACTTACTTTTGTCACATGCTCTTCATTTGTAAACATTATTGCTTTTTCATTGTTTTCCCACCCTTGTGCTTGGGTTAAATTCAAGAGACATGTCATCATCTTTATGCCCAAGAAAACCCAAGAGCGATGATGCTGCATTGGAAACGCCAAACTTAGGCATCAGTACAGAGCCCAATGGCCGCCCAATGGAAGTAGTGATAGCAAAATTTCCAGCTCAAACATGAGTTCCTGAAGTGAAGATTGATGTAACAATTTATCTTGTGGTGAGAAGAAAACCAAGAAAAAATGTTTCTGAGAGTAGTAGCTTGGAGAACTAACAAACTGACTTCCTGCAGAGTTGACTTAAAATCACTATAATGTATCCAGGTTGCGTGTAATTCACCACAGTTGTAAATAACCACTTGCAACAGCAGCTTTAGTTTAACACAGTGAAATTCTATCAACTTTCAGACAAACAGTTTTGCCTCTGGCTCTGACCAACATTCTCACTCTCATGTACACAGACATGCTTGAGAACCTTCCTCACTGAAACTTGCAACTCGGTGGTCGTGTAAGTCTCATTTTCTCCATTTAATCCAGTCTGTATTTTACTTGAGAGTTCACTTGCTCTGAAGTAATGCAGATTCAAAACGTTACTATGAGTGGCAATCACCACACACATTCTATCATTTCATTCAGTTTACAACAAATACTTTCTTCCTTGACTTTCTTATTTAAGAAAACACTCCGTTCTACGATTGTCGTCAGAGAGTTTCATTACAGATCTCATCCATGCTGGTGCCTTCCTGTTTTTAAAGAGCACAACTTCAGACAAGTTTTGTGTCAGGGAGGTGTGTTTTAAAAATTGCCTATCATCTCACGTGTGATAATAAATTCACTTTAAATGACAATAATTAGAAAACATAAATGAATGGTTGTGTGCAGTTTAAATTTCTCTAAATGAACTTTTCTCCAATTGTTTTGTTTTTCCAGTTAATGGTACCCAAAAGGTTGCTGTAACGTCAACGTTTTTCTCTGCTTGAAAGCCATCCTTCTTGTGAAAGAGTCTTTGTAGAATGTTTTTCTTTCTCCCAGAAAATCCCCAAAAGCAGTCCATAAATCACATTTTTAGGACATATTTCCTCGTGAAGTAAATTAGGCATGTGATGACAGGAGGAATTTCCTATTCAATTGTACATCTTGTATTATACAGTTGCCCTGGAAAAGACGTAGAAAAAAAAAGCTTAAAATAAACTCAAATTGTCGTCTCACGCTGAAAGCTCCAGAATAATCCAAGCTTGGTTTTGGCACATTTATTCAGTGGAGGAAATAATTGCTTCAAGATAACTGGTACCACTCTTATTGGCATCACTAACAACTCATATAAAATTAATGTAACCAAAATGTTTCTTTATAAACATGCTTTACTTTTTAAAGTTGATCTGTATTTCTGACCATGGCACCCTGTTTCCTTGAAGTTTAAATATGACACTGTTTAAAATTAGAAAGACATGAGAAGTCTTTCTGTAGTTATTTACATTTTACTTATGTCTAGTCTAGATGAGTCTAGATAAAAACAAAACTTGATCCTGATCCATCTTCTAACTTTGAAAGTCAATCACTTAGTACAATCTGCTGGTGTTTACTTAGATTATTTTTAATTCCTTAGATTTCTTTTTAATAAATTGAACTTAACTGCACTATTTGATAAGTGGGATAAATTGGAACTTATGTATGATTTGATCGAAATCTTTTGTTAAAACGTGCCTTGGGATGACATGTTGTGAATTGACAGTATACAAATAAATTGAATTGTATCCAGTCAGAATGTCACAAACACTAATATTGCTTACCTCTAATTTACTGACTGATTAATTTTTTTAGTGCTTAATAACATCCAATTAAGGTGACTGAGGCACTTCACTGTAAATTTCACAGGAAAAACCAATCACATTACAAGAAAGAAAATTAGTAATAAAATATATTACCGTGCTACATTTGTCAAGTAGTGCAGAATTGTGCAGCTTTTATTGATGAAGTCATGGAGGCAGGAGAAAAAATAGCCCACAACAGCATAACTACAGAGATCGCTCAGAATAAGTAGTTTTGGGGGTTTGCAAACACAATCAGTTAACTTTCATTTGCACATGCCTAGTTTTCATCCAAATATTTTTTCTCCCAGCAATATGATATTTCCCATCTCCAGTACAGTGGAGGATCTGTCATACTGTGGGCTGTTTCTCTTCCAAAAGCCATGGGTGCCTTGTTAGAAAAATATCATCATGACCTTTTTGGGGTTCAATTTTTCCAAAAATAATTTTAGTTTGAGATTATCCATTCAAGTTGAATTCACTGACTGGCTCTTTACCCATTTTCACAATTTTTGTTTTGATTTAATTCATACCTAAACACTAAAATTTACCATGATTTCCTCTTGTGTCACCACATCTAAGCACTGATCTGTAGTCTTGGTGAGAAAAAGGAAAGACTCAGGGTGCACAGGTCTCATGGACACCGACAGAGTTACGTGGCGCTGTGATTTACATCTACCAAGATGCACTGAGCATGATCAAGAGGTTATGTTTTCACACCAAGTTTTTTTTATTTTCCAGCAGAGATTCAGAGGAGGGGGAGATCAGAGCTGGGGTGGAGTTGAAATGCCTAACAGACTGAAGCCACAGGTCCCGTCTGGGGCCCTGTAGACCTAAAACCACAGCTAGACTGAATGAGGCATAGAGTGTTTGTGTAGCTGCAGGGTTCGCGGCGCCCAGTGGAAAGCCACCCACCTTGCTGGGGGACCACTGGGCTCAGGCATTGTAGCCCTCACACTCATGAGCCCCAGTGAAAGCGTGAGGCCGTCGGAAGCCTGTACGCGCTTCCTAAAAGAGACTGAAGTAGTGTTGTTTGTTGCCGATGCTGCAGTGTGGTCCTGTCTGCTCAGGCTCGCTCACATCAGTCACTGAAGCTGTCTGGTTTAAGGAGGAGAGAGATGGCTTGATAAGGATTTCTGTTTCCCTGCTATGACGCAAGCAACATCTTTGGCACCTTATTTTACACCCTGCTTCAGTCTGAATTCTGCACTCTAATGGAGACAGGTGTGGAGCCAAACAATTCAAGGTCTTGGCTGAACTTGAAAGGAAGCATAAATTGTAGCCGTTGTTACTCAATAGTGTAGTAAAATAACCCCACTGCCACAGTCTGTCACTAACATAAACAAGACCAGGACTGCAGGTGGGGGTTATGTGTGTTCATCTCGGGCTCCAGTGGGTGTTTGTAAGTAGGTGTGCGTGTGTGTGGATGTGTGTGTGACTTTAACTTTGCATTGCTTTCACATCACATACACACCTACAGGTCTTACAAAATCCAGCTGAGCAAACATCCTCAGGTTTGCTCAGAGGGAATTTCCTCCCCCCTTCTCACCATTAAGGAACTGGTTGTAATTGGGATACACCACACGCCATGGACTGGAAACCTTCAACAACCAGTTGTCTCCATTGGCCAACAGCATGTTTGATCTTTATATATACAGCTAGCTTGGTAGAATTTCTTAATATGTTTGACCTTGAAGTTCCACAAACACGAAATCCAACCATGCTTTGGTTCTGGTTCTGGTTCTGGCCTTTGAGGCTGTGATGGCAAAGAGACTTTTATGTTTTGGTCTGAAGGAATAAGAATTTTTTCTCTCTTCTCTTAGCTAGAAAAACATTTTCTTCATTGGTCTTTTAAAATTTCCCTGCTTAAGGCAACTAAATTTTCTGAAGAAGTGTATAATGTGACGGGTCAGCTATGGTGAAATCAAACATTTATGATTGTTTTTGTTTTCTGTTTGAAGTAATGAGTGGAACATACAGGTTTCACTCAGAAATCAAAGACATTTGTTTAAGTCTTGTCTAAGTCCTTGGTTTACCAGTTGATATTACCCTTTTCCTCTGGCACTTAGCAGCGTGGCTCAACTCAGTTCTACTCTATTTGTGTGGTTTTCCATTGCAGCTGAGTAGCAGCTCCAGTGGGTGGTGTTGTCATATAGTTGGGTGGTCCAAATTCAAATCAAAGCTGTTTTTGTTTTCTAAAAGTGCCAAATTACATCAGTCAGAAATCAGAAATTCACGCTAAATCAGCAGATTAGCACACTTTTTTCACCTAATGTATGATTATGAGTTTATTGCAAATCTTTTGCAAAGAATTTTTCAAAAACATTGGGTTCACGTGATGCTACTGCAGGTGGCAGTATTTCCAACTTTTACAGCACTACTGTCTTGTCAGTATTTTAACACTTTTTAACAGTTCTATGGGTTTTATCAATAAATTCTGGTGCAACCGGTCTTAATGTGGCCCAAAATAAAAATGAGTTTGACACCCCTCCTGTGCAGAATGAACTGGTACTATGTAACCAATACCAGTGGAAAACTCTTGAGTAGAGCCCAGTCAACCCACACTGAGAAGGTGCTAATGGAAAAAGTTCCTGAAAATATTGTTCATAACCTTTCTAATGTTGTCATATTTCATTGAATTTCCTGTGACAGACCAAAACAAAGTAGTTCATAATTGTGATGTGGAAGGATGTGATGCACGCTTTCCATAGTTTTTTTTTCCAAACCTGAAAAATGTGGCGCTTCCAAAAATACTGTCATTTACACCAACAGTGTTTGCTATGACTCTTAAGTTCATCATCCCTTTTTCCATGCTCAAAATCTCATCAAACCTCACTTTCAGAACTTGGTGTCCGAAACAGCTCGTAAAAAAGATCGAGAACTGGTGATGAGGGAGATCGACCGGCTTCGCTCCTCCATCCAGATGGTGTGTCGGAGTTCCTTACCGCTTGGAAAGATCATGGACTACATCCAGGAGGACGTGGACGCCATGCAGGCTGAGCTGCAAAGCTGGCGGCGGGAGAATAAGGAGCACGCACAGGCTTTGCTGCAGGAGCAGAGGTATGCTTGAGGCAGACACTCATGCTTTTCTTGTTTTTATTAAAAAAACAATTTGACATTTAAAATTTTCCTGCAGAGGGAGGTGGGATGCTTTAACAAAAGAAACATGGTTCAAATATATTCATTACTTCATGGTTCCATGTCCAGCTGCCAATACATTGTTTATGTTATGGTTTTGTCTTTAATCTAGTCAGATAAGTTGCAGATAAGTTAACAGGTTGTAGATAAGTTTCTACAACCTGTTGTTTTTATTTGCTGGTTATTATAGATGAGCCATCAATTGCAGTAAATACTGCTCTCCTCTCCTCAGGATAACTGACCGGGTCGTGGAGCCTCTCACTGCGGAGCTAGTCGAGCTGGACCAGCTTATCAAGGACCAGCAGGATAAAATTTGTGCTGTGAAGTCCAATATACTGAAGAATGAGGAGAAGATCCAGAAGATGGTAACTGGGATTAACTTTTCCTCCAGGACCTGAGTGAATAAACTAGATAGGAAAAAATGTACTCTAAACATTTAAAGATGAGCTGTTTTTAATAAAGAGCCGCACTTTGCGATACAGATCCTGTTTTCTGAGGTTTTTAGAATTAAATCAAATGGATCCACCTGGCTGTTTTAAATGGTGCCTTTGTTGAACGGATCTGTGCACAGCTTCTAACTTGGAGGTTTGTATGGATTGGTTTATGACAGCATCGCTTGCTCCATACAGAAAAATGTCCTTGTTGTTTCAGTTAATAAGAAATTGACTGCACATAGGATTTCTGGTCTTTTTTAGCTTTCATTTTATTTTCATCATTTATCTTTTGTTAATCTAATTAAACGGACACAGTTTTAGCCTAATTCACCTGTTTTAGCATCTTTATCTCTGATCATCTGTCCTCTCGTCCCTTAAAATCCCATTGATGTGGTTTTCAGAAAGCATTTTCCCATCACATTTTCATTCTCTCTTCTACTTTTGATGCACTGCTGCACTTTGATATTCTCTTTTTAAACTGTAAAGGGAAAAAGATGCTTTCTGTAAACTTGGCAGCTAAAGACACTCCACTTTCTGTCATGAATGAACATCAGAACATACTGGTTTTGCCACTTATAGTAAATAAACACATTGATTGTACGAGTGAGCAAAGAAAAGACCTGATTAATGAATTTAAAAAGAAGCTCAAAGGATTACATTTTGCTCCTGTTATCGCCGTAATAGGAGCAAAATGTACAATGCTAATGGAAATAAATGAAGCAATTAGGCTATCCTTGATATTGTTCACAAAATATTTCGTTTTAGTCTATTTGTGGATTTATTATGGTTACATTATTGTTGTGCATTGTGATGTATGTCCTGAAAGAAAAAGCAATATCAGCATAATATATAATCTAATTTGCATTTAAGCAGTCACTCAACATTCCGCAGCACAAAAAGCTCCTAAATTGTGCAAAAATATGAACACTTACCTGAATATACTGATTCATTTATTACACTAATAAATGAAATCCAGCTGAATCCATTGAGTTGATTCAGTCACATTTTATGTTGAAAATTTGAGAAAATCCAGCCATACTTTTTCTTTTTTGAGTAAATTGCAGAAAATGCGGTATTTGGGGGTCACAAAGTTTTTATAACAATCATTAGTCAAAATCTACATGCCAACCAATAGTTTGGAAAAAGACTTCCCCATCCTACTGTTACTAGAGTAAATGTGAAGCCTGGTAACAATGCCAGGAACTTTAACTGGAACCCTGTGCTTTGTTCAGCTTTTGTTTGAAACTTTGAGTTACTCTGAAATGTTACAGGAGACCAAGTGTTTGATTTTAAATATCTTTAGGAGAATAGCAATTCCATAATCAATGTTTTTTTCTGCACTGAATAAATTTCCCCAATCTGGATTTGGTTTGGTTGAATGTTTCTAAAAGGTTCAGGGTGAGATAATGCCATGGATGTCAGGATTTTGACATATTTACCTCTTAGCTGAAAAAATTGTAAAATTTTTTCAGCTAAAATGTCAGCTGACATCTCTGCTGTGAATACGAACTAATTATAACATTTTTACTGATGCCATGGCCTAAGATTCATATTGTTAGAGAACAAATGGATAGTGTTGATTTAGCTTTTTATGCCTATAAATTTAAGCGTACAGCATGCGACTGTATTTAAGGCTCATTTTCTGCTACTGCTCAGGAAAAGGAAACACTAAATTTATATGAACTCTTTATAGAAGCAACAATTCAACAAATGCTATTAGATGAAAACTCAGCAATCACACTACACAAATAGGCCAGACTTTGTTTTCGTAGGACCATTTTGTGACGTCCTTCCAAAATTAAACAGAAACATCCAGGAGTTTTAGTAAGAGAGCGTCCCGATAAAGTGGGGAGCTGCATATTACTCATAATTACTACATTCACTGTACACTGTTTGTTACATTGTCTCAGTTTACCTTTCAACTGTACATAATGTATATGTTGAGATTGTATCATAGTTTAAATGACTATATAATTTTGTAGTGGAGTGAAATAAACGATCACATTGCAGTAAATGTTTGCCTCTTGTTTATGATTTGCGACAGAGTGGAGTGGAGGTTCGCTGCAGCCTGTTAGTCAGAGCGGCCTTAATGAGAGGCTTTGATTGTTCAAGTCAACACAAATGAAGTGGTGAAAGACAGGACTGTTATTTTGAACATTTCTTGTAAAGGTTTTATTACCTTCTGTCACACTGCAAGGAAGTGATTTTCTTTTGAGGTCTCATAAACATTCAGCCTTTCTTTTTCAGCAGCTGAACAACAACCTTTTGTTTTTACCCTCTGTTAAAACAATAAACCAGCTGCAATATGAAAAAATGTTTTTTTGTGGATTAGGACTGACTTTTTTCTCAAAATCCCCAGAAAAGTCAGAATTATGGTATTAAAATCAGAATATTGAGGGGAAAACAAAGTTGGAGTTCTGTGGGAAAAAAACAAAAAACATATTCAAGAAAAAAAATAGAATTGAGATTAAAGTCAGAATCTCCAGAAATGTCAGAATTCCCAGTAAAAAGGAAAAGTCAGATTTGTTAGGAAAAAAAAGTTAAAAATTAGATGAGTCAGAATTCTGTAGAAAAAAAGTTAGAATTGTGGAATTAAAGTTGGAATTCTCAGGAGTTAGAATTATAAGGCAAAAGTTGGAATTCTGACAGTCAGAATTCTAGAATTAATGTCAGAATAACTCCCCAGCCCCCAAAATGATGAATTATGAAATCATAGTACGAACCCTTGTAAAAAAACAAATTTAATTCTTACAGTTGGTGTCCTGAAAAAAGGATAGAATTCAACAGAATTTCATAGAATCTGAACTTTGACTTTTCATCTCAGAATTTTGACTTATTTTTTGCTCAAAATTCTGAGACAAAAGTCTTCTTACATATATTTTAGTGAGTCACTCTGGCTGAATTATGTACTGTTTGGCTGCTGTAATCTGGATGATGCTCTGATCTGCTGAAGAGTTTCATCAATGGTCACAAGATCTAGATCTGCATCTAGAATAAGAGAACAGTGACAAACAACTGAAGGGATCTTTTTCTTTTGGGCGCCTACCTTTTGTTAACAAGGCATTTCTCACTGGGTAGAGACCCCTAGAGGGGCCACACACTCACTTGTGACTGAGGTGTGCCTTTCTAGTTTCTGGTTGGACTTCAGAACCACCTTAAATCTCACATTTAACAGATCAAATAAGGTGTCAGAAACATTCCTGGAAGTTTTTTTTCCCCACATTGAATCCATGACGTGAATCTTCTGCAAATTAGTTTGAGATGAGAAGAGCTTTGCGACAGTAGTCATCAGACGATGGTTACGTAAAGGTTTGGAACAACATTGTATTAGACTGTGGCACAAAGCAGAACGGATGTGTTTTCATCCTGTTTACACTGAATCGTGGAGTGAATAGTAGCCTCAGTTTCCTGACAGCAGTGGGATAAACTGACCAGAAAGCATTACTGTGGATTTTTTCTTCTAGATTGAAAGCCAGTTGCCACGCCACTGCATCATTTTCCCTGTTTGTGTGGAGTACAATCAATGAAAACAATGAGGAATCATTCAAACGCTAATCTTTCAGCTCAGCATTTCTTTTCCGCCCCCTTTTCTACACAAAGCCAGATCCCTGCAGGCAGCCTGTCCAGTTATGGGGCCGCCTGGCTCCACTGACTGGGGCGTTTATTTTTAGAGCTCCACCACGGTCCAGTGTCTGTCATCAGGCTGCATAAAGCTACGGCTGCATGCCTCCATCTGTACTCACTATAAAAAAGATGGTGCGCAATGCACTTCAAGTATGTTTATTTTACACTTACAATTAGACCAACTTCCTTAACCTCAACCTTTTAAAAATCTTTCTTCTTTACTTTAATTCCTTCTCTTTAGCTCTGGCTCTGACCACTTTTGCAAGGATTTAATGGATCCTAAAAGGCTCCCTAAGCCTAACAGGTTATCCAATGTTTATTTGTTGCATAAAAACATACATAGTTTTGTCCTTCTCCGTTAAAAAGGCAGTATAGATTTTGACTCAAAGTGGTTGCTGCCAAAAAAAGCAAAAAAAAAAAAAAAACTGGACTGATTATAGAAAAGAAACAGTTGGTCAACAAGCACTTGTTACCATTGGTTCGTGTTTTCTCTAGTTGCGATTAATTTATCTCAGTGGTTTGTTGAAGTCTCAAAGCCTTAGACATAGGACTTTGTGACTGCTTAAGATGTTAATGAAGCAGAGTAGTAAAGAAGATGATCTTAGTTTTCTGTTAAATTCTCTTTCTCATCTCTGTGCAACAGAATAGTTTCCAGAACACAGTCAGCTTTTATTTTCTTTATCAGCTTGTTCAGCTTTTTTACTTCCCAGTATCAGATGTTGTTACCCTAACTGCAGATGAGATTTCACTCACAAGATTTATTGGTGGCATGCAGAATCTTGGTGCGAGTACTGAAGAACCTGAAGACTGAACAGGAAGTACAGTCGTCTCTCTTGCTTTCTGATCCGTTTCCATAGAGCATTAAATGGCCCTTATAATAATGGTTACAACCTTGTCTCTTTCCTGGATAGAGCTGTTGAAAGATTTACAGCTGTGACTAACTACACATACTCTGTTTTTCATCCTTTGCATCTATTTTTTTCTATGCATCTCTGTTCTATGGGGTTTTTCCTCAGTGTTTGGTTTCAACCTTCTTACATCACCCGTTGGCTTAGGAGATTTTTATTGCACTGCAAAAAAAAAAAAAAACAGACAAATGTGCAAACTCCTAAGTATAGTTGAAATAAGACAAAAGTAATATACAAGTAACTTTTCTGCAACATGTGAGTTCGTTTTTAGTAAATAATTCCTTAACAATAATGAAAAAGTTTGAGTTCTGTGGGTGAATGTTTTGTTATAAGTGAAACAATCTGCCAGTGGAACTAATACTTTTTTAAAAAAAATTAAGGACTTATAATGAGCTCCTATATTTTGCAGTGCTATTACATGTGAAAAAGTGTATTAAGATATTTGCGCTAGAAACTGAATCAAAATACTCTGCTGAAAGAGTTTTTTTCTTCCCACCATGACCACATACTAGCTC